TTTTTTTTTTTTTGCTATTTTATAACCAGAAGTAGAAGAGTAAATTTTGTGCCATTATCTAAGTTTTTCAGCTTGAGACGTCAGAAAACTCTGGTTTTGCTTATTCACAGCCAAGTGATGTGGGCAAATCTCTTAATGTCTCTGAATCTGTACAATAGGGCTAAAAAGAAAAGCACTGGCCACTGTACAGAGCTTTTAAATTTTTTTTTTCAACGTTTATTTATTTTTGGGACAGAGAGAGACAGAGCATGAACGGGGGAGGGGCAGAGAGAGAGGGAGACACAGAATCGGAAACAGGCTCCAGGTTCTGAGCCATCAGCCCAGAGCCTGACGCGGGGCTCGAACTCACGGACCGCAAGATCGTGACCTGGCTGAAGTCGGACGCCTGGCTGAAGTCGGACGCTTAACCGACTGCGCCACCCAGGCGCCCCTGTACAGAGCTTTTAAAAGGCCCACATGGAGGGGAGCCTGAGTGGCTTAGTTGGTTAAGCGTCCAACTTCAGCTCAGGTCATGATCTCATGGTTCATGAGTTAGAGCCCCTCATTGAGCTCTGTGCTGACAGCTCAGAGCCTGGAGCCCATTTCAGACTCTGTGTCTCCCTCTCTCTCTGCACCTCCCCAGCTAACACTCTGTCTCTCTTTCAAAAATACATAAACATTAAAAAAACAAAAAAGGCCCACATGGAGTTGTAATGTAATGAAAGGAGTTATAATAAGAAAAAGGTAGCCCTCTTTGTGGTTATGTGTTAGGAGAAAGGAAGAGACGTTTCCAGTTCTTTCTTTTCATGCTATTTTGGTTCCTTGCAGGTGGAGAGCACAATGGAACAGAATTTCCTACAGGATAAAGAGGGTGTTTTCCCCCTGCAGCCTGACCTGCTCTCCTCCCTTGGGGAGGAGGAACTGACCCTCACAGAGGCCCTAGTGGGGCTGAGTGGACTTGAAGTGCAGAGATCGGGCCCCCAGTACATGTGGGACCCAGACACCCTGCCCCACCTCTGTGCCCTTTATGCTGGCCTCTCCCTCCTGCAGCTCCTGACCAAGGCCTCCTAACTTGCCTCTTCACTTGCTCCCTGCTTCCTGAATGCCTCCCTACCTCATTGTGCTGTGTCCTTATCACCCAAGGGTATTTCAGAGCCACCAGGCTGAAGATGACAGAAAACCTAGCTGATCACCTAAGATAAGCAATTTCCACTTGTCCAGCTCTATCTCTCCCCTTCCCCCTGCAGTTCTGCAACCTATCTGCTGGTGCTTAAATCCTCTAAAAGTAGAAACTTTCAAACTTTTAAAACTTGAACCATGAACCATTTCAGCAAAACCAAAACGAATTCATTTCTTATCCCAATCCCTCCTGCTTATGCTTCCAAAACTCAAGTTTTACTGGCATTAATGGAAAATATTATTTTACTTTGGGTGAAATGTCTTCTGGTGTTTTTTTTAACTTCTGCCAAAGAAAAAAAGTAGACCTTATCACACTACATATAGATCATATATACATGAATACTATTATACTGCCTGCAGTATAATTCTGGGAAATGCCCAGAAAACAACTTATGAGGGTATAGAATGTGGAATCTAGCTTCTAAAGTGAGAAGATCATCAAAGCAGGTTGTCTTCAAAGAGGAGGCTTTAGGGTCCTCTGGACTCGGGTTGAGAGACTGGGACGGGCTTGTTCATGATACAAACCCAAAACAAGGGTAGGACAACTTTCAAGTGTACCAAATAGAAAATACAGATGAGTCTTCAAAAAAAAAAAAAAAAAAAAAAAAAAAAGCACCCAAGAATAAGACTGACCCATAACTTTTAAAAAGAAACTGTGATATTATCTTATTTCACCTTTCTCTCTTCTGCCCTCAATTCAGGGTGGTTGTGGGAGGAAGTAATGTGGGCTTACAATATGGACCTGCAAATATAGATACTGCAATCTTATATAACTACTGGGTTCATACCATCCTCCTCTGCCTGAAGCTGGGTTTTAACATCTTTCACCAATTTCTTTTAAAGTAGTTTTATAGGTGGAATAATTTCTCCAAGGTTTTTGGCCCCAGGAGTCAGACTCTCCCCTCCTTGGCCACCCCCCTCCCCCGACTGGTTCCCTCACTCAACAAGAATTCATGATCAACTGCCAAAAGCTTTGCGTTAAGCCATCCTCCCCCATTCTGGGGCATCTTTCAATGCCTCACTACATTGCTCAAAGACATCCTGAGTAATTATCTGCTGACTTGGTTGTTTTTCTCTTGTGATGTATACTTAATAAAGAGATGATCTAACACCATAACTATCCAGAAAGGTAACTTCATAAGGATGAACAACAAAGCTTGTCTGTTTTCTCCTTTACCCTTCTCACCCACCTGAGTGACAGATACGGTGTTATGAAGAAGAGGCTCTAATGAGTTTATTCCAGTGATGATTCAAAAGTTGTTATCCATCCCACAGCCCAAGGCAGCACAGAGACAGTTAGGGAGGAATTGGTCAAGGCATGCTCCCTAAAATCAGACAACATGTTTTTCCATTTAGTTCAAGGAGCTATTTGCAGCAATAGTATGACAAGGGGGAGACAATATCCTTTCTACATTTGAATATAAAGAATATGGTCAAAACATATTCCTCTGCTCTCTATGACCTTACAACAGAGCTAGATTGTTTTGTAGGGTCTGACCTGGTTTAAAACTCAGGACTTCCCACAACTAACTTACAGTTTTTATTACAGGGAGTGGGACATGGGTACGAGGTGGAGAGAGAGGCTTTATGTGAGCATGTGGATGATGGATCTTTTCCTAATAATTCTCCTCAATTTGAGAAACACATGGTAGGAATCTAATATAATTCAGCTAAGCAAGGGAACCAACTGATCCTAGTGGACCACCTACATAATCACAGTCTTAGAAGTCTGGTCAGCAAGATTTTATTAAATGTAACCCCTACATTGGGTTAGGCTATATTGAAAATCATTTAAATAGGCCTAAATTTGGGAACAGAGATAGTCTTTTGTTGTTTTTAATATTTCTTACTATAAATTTTCAACAGTAGTAACTGATTATTTGGATAATGTTTTATTAAACTAGCTACTATACACAAGCTATTACACATTTTATTGCAGATTTTTGCTCTGGGGAGTAATTTTTTTTTTTTAATTTTTTTTTTCAACGTTTATTTATTTTTGGGACAGAGAGAGACAGAGCATGAACGGGGGAGGGGCAGAGAGAGAGGGAGACACAGAATCAGAAACAGGCTCCAGGCTCTGAGCCATCAGCCCAGAGCCCGACGCGGGGCTCGAACTCACGGACCGCGAGATCGTGACCTGGCTGAAGTCGGACGCTTAACCGACTGCGCCACCCAGGCGCCCCATGGGGAGTAATTTTTAATTGTATTATTTGCTAGAAAATCAGCATATAAGACATCTTTATATAAGACATTATCTGTAATGTTTTTTATGCTGATTTTCTAGAAAATAACACAATTTGGAAGGGACCAAAACATGGAAAAGAGCGTCACACAAATCGTATCTGAAAGACAGCTCAGTCGATTATCCTCTAGTTCTGAAATTCTCATTTTGTAGCTGCTTTCCTCTTTGCAAATACTCTTCCACCACAGAGTTTTCTAGTGCTGCCTAGGAAATCTAATTTCAGTACATTTATCCCAGGTTTCGTGTAAGTTTTTAAAGTTTGGGGAAAAATAGGTACTTATTTACTAATATATCTTTTTCAAACTAGATTTATGTGCAAAGTTAAACATTAACTATTAATATACTTCTGTCACTCTGTAAAAAACAAACAAACAAACACCTCAGGACTTCCATCAAGAGAAGAGATACAAGTTCCAAGTTAGGGAGGGAGGGTTTTTTTTTTTTGGTTTGTTTTTTGTCTTAAGAAGTTGGAACCTGTATCCTCCTCCTGCAGAATCACTGGAGGATTCCTTTGAAAAGTAAGTGGACAGGGTTTCTGGTTCAACTTCATCCCCCTGGGGATTCTTAGATTCTCTTTAGGTACACTATTATTCTGCTCCCCGTTTCACTACAGTGTCTGGAGGCAAACAGGCACCCCGCAGACTCCCTGAAGCCTCTCCCAATAGGGGCTTCCACCGGCTTTCCTCCCGCCTCACAATACACTGCAGAGCGGAGCTTCTAGCAGACTACATTCTAGGGCTGTTTTTATAACCTCGCGCCCCGAACATGCTGGCCCTGTGCCACACATAGAGTGGTCCCGTATATTTTATACTGGAGTGATTGTACACAAGGGTACTCTCCTCCCCACCCCACCCCCATCCGCCTTCCCAGGCTACAAAGATTCTATGCCTTACTTTCGGCACTAGCTAAAATCTGACAAGAAGTCTGAATCCCATTGAGTTCCTCCTACTCTCCAGTTCGGGGCTCACATATCTCTTTCGTAGCTTCTGCCCACGCGCTGGATGCACTGGACGGCGGTTGAGTACGAGCCTCGAGAATCTCGATCGCTATCCTAAACTGGGGGCAGACTGAGCGAGTGGGGGCAAGAAACCGCCCGGCAACTCATGACGCCATCACGCCCTGCTCTACGATAAGGCCCTACCTACTCCACGTCGGTTCGGGCGCTCTTAAGAGTCCGCGGTAACCCAGATTGGAGGCTGAGGGGACATCTCGTGGACGTGCGTGGAAATGCACCCGAGAGGAACACAAGAAAATCAACACACTGAAGCACTCCAAAGAAAGCGGGGCAAACCCATACGGGGCCTCGAAGATCCGCCTCCATCCTGCACCTCGGCTGTTGATTTCTTTCCCTTTTGTGGACTCGGCTTTCGGCCCGCCGGGCCTGGCGTTTCCCAGAAGGCCCAGCGCCGGGAAAGGGTTTGCAGCTGCTCAGTCATCGTGCGGCCCGTCGCGAGCCCGCGCTCGTGTGCAGGCCCGGCTCGGTTCCTGATTTCTGGTGCGAGGATTCACGCGAACCCCCGGTCTCTGTCCCCGGAGTAGGCCGCGACCCCGGGCACCATGAAACAGGAGGGCTCGGGGCGCCGCCGCGGCGCGGACAAGGCAAAGCCGCCGCCGGGCGGAGGGGAGCAAGAACCACCGCCGCCCCCGACTCCCCAGGATGTGGAGATGAAAGAGGAGGCGGCGGCGGGTGGCGCGTCAGCGGGAGAAGCTGACAGCAAAACGGCGGCGGCTGAGCACTCCCAGCGAGAGCTGGACACCGTCACCTTGGAGGGTACGAGAGCCCGGGCCGGGGACGTGCTGTGATCACGGATGACAGCGCTCCTCGGGATCCGGAGCGCAGCTTCCACCATCCCCGGTTCTTTAGGAATATCCCCAGTGCCCACCTCCAGTCCCCTGACACTCCCGACCCCAGTCCCAATAACTGAACCTTCTCTCCAGGTTCCGGACTCCTCCCTTCACACACACCTTCCTCTGCCTGAGTTGCATCTAGAAGTAGGTCTCACTGGGCCTGTAGACTCCCTCTTCTAGGTCTTCTCTGACCTACTCTGTTTACATCCACCGAACTGATTCTAACGCCCCCAGCATATGATTGATCCCACCAGAAACCAGTGTTTGTATTTGTGTATAAAGGGTGTCAGGGTGACGCAGAATACTGGCCCTTGAATTTTAAGACTACAAAAGTTTTCTTTTGCCAGCTATCTCTAGTAAATTCACCTAAGAGAAGACTTTCTACTCAGTATCTTGCTTTCTTGTTTCTGTAACGAAGGTTCCCCAACAATCCCAATGTACTTCTGCTCCCTTACTCCTGTTTCTAAAGAGTTTAAACATTTTACAGACTTGCAAGTTTTTAGGTGTCATCTTTGAGTTCCTAATATCTTCGACCTAAAATATGAACCAATTCCTCCATTTCTTTTCTCCTAAGTGCTTGTTTCCAGTTTCTTACAGCCCTCTTGCTCCTCCAAATTCACATTTTTCTTAGAGATCCTATCCACATTTGGAGTGGGTAGACAGAGCTTCCCACTGTGACCCTTGTGCTATTTTCCCAGCTCTGGATCAAGTGGAACCAGATTGTTCATTGGGTTTTCTCTCTAATGATGGACACATAGTAAACTCTCTGTAATGTTAGCAGTTATCATTACTGTGTCATTGATGGGACCCAGGCACCCTATGCTAAGTGTACAAAGGTAACTAAGAAACTACCAATGAAATGTATTCCCTTATTCCTAGACACTTTAGTTTCCAGTTTTTTACTGTTATAAATAATTTTTCAACAGTCATCTTTGTGACCAGGTTTTTAGTCTACCTTTACAATTATTTCTTCAGTATAGATTCTAAATATGCCTGAATTGAAAGGGTAGGCGTTTTTAAGGTTTTGGGTAGGTATTGTCCAGAGAAACTGTACTGATTTATGTTATACCAACAGAAATATCCTGTTCACTGGTAACTCTGTTATGATTTCTTAAATATTACCAATTTGGTAGTTGAAAACATTTCCATTTGCAATTATTCAAAAGCTAGTAAAATGTATTTTCATGTCAGTTAGCTATATTTCTTTTTGTATTGTCTATTTGTGGTTTTTTTTTAATGTTTTTTTTTTTGACACACACACACACACACACACTCTCTCTCTCTCTCTCTCTCTGAGTGGGGGAGCGGCAGAGAGAGGGAGACACAGAATCCAGAGCAGGCTCCAGGCTCCAGGCTCTGAGCTGTCTGCACAGAGCCCGATGCTGGGCTCCAGCCCACAAACCGTGAGATCATGACCCAAGCCGAAGTCAGACATTTAACTGACTGAGCCACTCAGGCGCCCCATTTGTGTTCATTTTTACTTGTCCTAATTATTTATGCAAGTTCTTTGTAAAATAAGAACATGACTCTCTGGTCACATTTGTTGCAAATATTTTTTTTGTTCAGTTATTCGGAAGGATTTTTTAGAGTGGAGTTCATCATGCGTGTGCGCGCACGTGTGTGTGTGTGTATGTGTATGACTTCTCCCATTGCGGTTTTTTTTTTTTTTTAAGTTATTTTGAGAAAAAGAGAGGGTGGGGAGGGGCGGAGAGAGGGAGAGAGAAAATCCCAAACAGGCTCCGTGTTGTTAGTGCCAAGTCCTATACAAACCATGGGATAATGACAGCCAAAATCAAGAGCCTTCTGAGCCAGGTGCCCCTCTACCATTGTTTACATTTAGAAAGTCTTTTCCTGTATAGAGATCTGTTAAATCTCCATGTGTTTGTCTTGTTTTTTGTTCTTCTCTTTACCTTCCTCTTTCTGTCACCCTCTACCCTTTCCCCTACCCGAGCTTTAATTTTTGTCTCTTGGTTATGTCTTAAAATCATTATTTGGCATCTGTAAGTATTGCTTAACCCTACTAGGCAAAAGAAGTGGTTGGCTACATCTTGCCCTTTTATAAGAGGTTCTCTAGAACTACTTGCCTGGAGGGTGGGAGGGAATAGGAAGAATTGGAAGTAACATTGTTTTCTTCTGTGGTCCTCCACAGACATTAAAGAGCACGTGAAACAGCTGGAGAAGGCAGTTTCGGGCAAGGAGCCTCGATTTGTGCTAAGGGCCCTGCGGATGCTCCCTTCCACATCACGTCGCCTCAACCACTACGTTCTGTATAAGGCTGTACATGGCTTCTTCACCTCAAATAATGCCACTCGAGACTTCTTGCTACCCTTCCTGGAAGAGGTGAGTGAGTCAGGTGCTTAAAGGATGCAGGCTTGGTCTCAGACCACATCCCCCCACCCCACCCCTTGATGTAATGTTTCCCATCCTGAAGACCTGATTACCTGCTGTAGCTGAGTAGTGAAGCAAAGCAGCCCATTTTAAGACTCATTTGTCCCCTAACAAGGGAACCATCTTTCTGCCCTATAGTGTCATTCTTCTGAGTCAGGGAAAAAAACTGGGAATCAGCACCCTTTGAACCAAACTCACTTAACGCTGCTCCTCAGCACAAGCACTCTCCTCCAGTTGGGTGGTGTCTCCATTGTCCTAGGAGAAGGTACCACCACCTCTGAATCCTCACTGAGGAGGACGTATAAAACAGTGGTTAAGAGCACAGGTTCTGGGAGCACCTGCGTGGCTCAGTTAAGCGTCTGACTCTTGATCTCAACTCAGGTCATGATCTCACAGTTTGTGAGGTGGAGTCTGCTTAGGATTGTCTCTCTCCCTCTCTCTGCCCCTTCCCATCTTGTGTGAGTGTGCTCTCTCTCAAAAAATAAATAAAAAACCAAAATAAAATGTTAAAAAAAGAATACAGTTTTTGGAGGTGGAGTCAAATTTGAACCCCAGCTATACCATTTGGTACTTGTGGGACTTGAGCAAGTGACCTAACCTCCTTATGCCTCATTTTCATTGTTAAATGTAGTGAACAGATTCGGGGGATGAGGCTGAGTAAAGGAATGTCTTAGAACCTTCCCTGGCACATAGTGAATGCTGATGAAATTTGGTGCAGGCAGTGGTCTCCATGCCACGAAAGACCTCTCCTTTTCCTTTCCGGCTGTAAAATCCCCCTTATGTACAGGTCCTGACCCTTCTCAAACCACGTTGTCCCTTCAGCCACCTTCATCTCACTAAAATCCTATACGCTCACAGGCTGTTCCATGGATGTGAAAACTCAATCCCTTTTGAGGTGGAATGATGAAGAAGAGTGTATTGTCTGGGAACAAGAAAGCACCCTCCCCCCAACCTCACCTGGAATGTTTTTTAACCCTATACCTCTAAATTCACCCAACATGTTTGCTTTTTGATCTGTTGCATATTATTCCAGCTTTGGTGACTAGATCTGATAATAAGTACTATGTATATGTCACTTCCCCCAAATTTCCTTTGTTCCCACAAAAAAAAAATTATATCTCATTATTCTTGATCTCATCTCTAGAATTAATGTTACTTTATTAAACCCTATCTGATCAAATTTGCAGTGGTTCCAGGTGTGGTGGTTTAATCTCTACTTAGATTGTAGGTTTTTTGAGGGCTCCTTACATCATCCTTTCTGTCCCCATTATATTCTGTAAAGATGTCTGTTACATTCCTGTAACCCTTTTCTTGTTTCTATTGCCAGCCTCCTTGACTTCTTTCAGAAGGTGACTGTGTGCCATCTTTATTTTTGTATCCCCAATACCTAGAAAAATCTTGCACATAGTAGGCATTCATCGTGAGTGTTTAGTAAATTCTTGGTTGGCTGATCTGACTGAGCTTTTCCACAGTAATTCATGTCTTCTCCTAGCCCATGGACACCGAAGCTGATTTACAGTTCCGTCCCCGAACAGGAAAAGCTGCATCAGCACCCCTCCTGCCTGAGGTGGAAGCCTATCTACAGCTCCTCGTGGTCATCTTCCTGATGAACAGCAAACGCTACAAAGAGGTATCCAGGGCCAGTGGGCAAGGTTAACATGTCTCAAGCAGTGCATGGGTTTTGTGGGAGAGATTGTCTCTGGTGAAGAAATGGAGAGAATCACTGGGCTCTTAAACAGCCCCCCAGACTCTTACCCCATGTGGGAACACACCTAACTCCACATCCAGGAAACCCCCTCAGCTCCCATTCAGACACCATGGGAAGGGGCTGGCGGCCACCATTCTGTGCTTGTCTGTGGCATAGTGCCGGTGTCGTGGATTCTGTTAGGATAGAGATTTGGAGATAGAAACCAACGTTCAAATCCCAGCTATACCTTAGGCAAATTAATTTCTCCTGGCCTTATGTCAAATGGGGAAAATAGTGCCCAATTTACAAGATCATTGTTGGCATTAAGTAAAATACTGGCACAATGATCTGCATATAGTAAGCTTTCACAATATTTTAATAAGTAGCAGCTCTTTTCATGGGACTGAACAACTCCATGGATACTGCTCTACCACTTCTCCCTCTGACTGGGGCCAACTTCTTTGCCATCACAGCCACTGTCCCAAGAGCATGCTTAAGAAATGACAGGTCCCTCTCAATTTCCTGTTTTGTTTTTTCCTTGCCTTGCCTTGAGTTGGTTTTTGTTTCTTTCTAAATATAATTCACCCCTTTATTTTATTTTATATTTTTAGTTTTTTAATATTTATTTTTGAGAGAGAGAGAGTGTGTGTGCAAGTGGGGGAGGAGCAAAGAGAGAGGGAGACACAGAATCTGAAGCAGGCTCAGGTTCTGAGCTGTCAGCACAGAGCCCTATGGGAGGGCTCCAACCCATGAACTGTGAGATTATGACCTGAGCCAAAGTCGGATGCTCAACTGACTAAGCCACCCAGGTGCCCCATAATTCACCCCCTTTAAAGTGTACAATTCAGGGGTATCTGGCTGGCTCAGTCAGTAGAGCGTCTGACTCTTGGTCTCCAGGTCATGAGTTCGAGCCCAACATTGGGTACAGAGAGTACTTAAAATAAAATGAAGGGCGCCTGGGTGGCTCAGTCAGTTAATCATCCTCCTTCAGCTTAGGTCATGATGTCACAGCCCTTGGGTTTGAGCCCTCCGTCAGGCTCTGCTCTGACATCTCAGAGCCTGGAGCCTGCTTCAGATTCTGTCTCCTCTCTCTGCTCCTTCCCTGCTAGTTCACCTCTCTTCCTCCCTCTCTCTCTGTCTCTCTCTCTCTCTCAAAAATAAGTAAACTTTAAAAAAAGAAGATATAAAATCAATTATGGGGCTCCTGGCGGCTCAGTCAGTTAAGCGTCTGACTCTTGATTTCAGCACAGGTCATGATCTCACAGTTTGTGAGTTTGAGCCCTGTGTCAGGCTCTGCACTGACAATACAGAGCCTGCTTGGGATTCTCTTCTCTCTCCCTCTCTGCCTCTCCCTCACTCAGGCTCTTTCTCTCTCAAAATAAATAAACTTTAAAAACTGTTATAAAAAAATAAAGTGTACAGTTCAGTGGGTTTTGGTGTGTTCACAAGGTTGTACAACCATCATCACTGTCTAATTCCAGAATAATTTCGTCACCCCCAAAAGAAACGCCATTGCTGTTAATAGTCATTCCCCATTCCCCCCAGCCTCCAGCAACTACTCATCTCCATTTTCTGGCTCATGGATTTTCCTATTCTGACATCTCATATAAATGGAATTCTATAATACATGGCCTTTTACGTATGGTTTCTTTGACTTAGCATAACGTATTGTAGGTTTGTCCATGTCGTAGTGTGGATCTGTAGTCCAGCCCTTTTTGTGGGTGAATAATACTCCATTGTAGGGATATGCTGCATTTAGTTTATCCATGTATCCAGTGATGGGCACTTGGAGGGATCATTTCACTTTTTGGTAATAATAATGCTGCTATGAACATTTGCATACAAGCTTTTATGTGAACGTGTTTCCAGTTCTCCTGGATTTATGCGTAGAAGGGGAGTGCTGGTTCATGTGATTGCTCCATGTCCAAGCTTTTGAGGAACTGCTACTAGATTCTCTTTTGGCTGCCTCCCCAGGCACAGAAGATCTCTGATGACCTAATGCAGAAGATCAGCACTCAGAACCGCCGGGCCCTGGACCTTGTGGCCGCAAAGTGTTACTACTATCATGCCCGGGTCTATGAGTTCCTGGACAAGCTGGATGTGGTGCGCAGGTACGGGTGGCCAAGGTCTGACCCTAAAGTTAAGAACTATCCCCCAGGCTCTTCCCTTTACTCCACATCAAGGGAGTACTGACTGGTAGGTCAAGGGTGGAAGGACAGGCTAGAAAACATTTCACTCCTCTGCTTAGAGCTTGTGGTGGCTCCCCATTTTCCTCAGGGAAGAGTTGAAGTCCTCGTGATAGCACATAAAGCCTGATGTGCTCTGGCCCTTGTTACTGCCTTCTTGACTCCAGCACCCTCTGCTCGCCTGACTCCCCACACTGACCTCCCTGCTCTTCCTGGGGCATGACAGGCACGCTCTTCTCTCTACCGAGAATGCTCTTCTCCCTACTTCCTTCAAGCCTTTGTTTAATTGTTCCTTTCTCAGCAAGTCCTACCCTGATCAAGCTATTTAAAATTGCAACCCCATCCTCCTCACCTCCTGTGTTCCCTATTACACTTACCCTCATTTCTCCATAGCCCTGATCTCCTCCTATCATGCTAAGTAATACACTTACTTATCATGATCATTGTCTGTCACCCCCACGAGGATGCAGAGTTGTGTCCTTTTGGTGCACCTAGAATAGTGCTTCACGCCGCAGGCACTCAATAGTTGAGTATTCAGTGAAAAACCAGAAAAGCAGTCTGTGTCACTTTTTTTGGAATTGAGAGAGAATGGAGAGGTCAAAGCAATTCAAAGAGTTCTTATTTGAGCCCTTTGATATCTCTTTTCTTTCCTTCTTGAAGCTTCTTGCATGCTCGGCTCCGGACAGCCACCCTTCGGCATGATGCGGATGGGCAGGCCACCCTGCTGAACCTCCTGCTGCGGAACTACCTACACTACAGCTTGTACGACCAGGCTGAGAAGCTGGTGTCCAAGTCCGTGTTCCCCGAGCAGGCCAACAACAATGAGTGGGCCAGGTACCTCTACTACACAGGTGAGCGATGGGCCCGACCCTTGAGTCAGATCAGAAGGTGTCTCAGGCTCACTTGGTGCATGAGACACCCATTTGACACTGGTTTGCAAGGGGCTTTGGATGATGCCATTCTCTTGACCCACTCCCTTCTCTGCCCCCAGGGCGAATCAAAGCTATTCAGTTGGAGTACTCAGAGGCCCGGAGAACAATGACCAATGCCCTTCGCAAGGCCCCTCAGCACACAGCTGTCGGCTTCAAACAGACGGTGAGCAGCAGTTCTCATCCCTACACTACTTACTCATCTGATAAGGCTTTGGTTTTCTTTCCCTACACAGGCCAGGGAAGGTGTCCCTAACCTTCATTATCCAAAAGGTGTATCATTGTGCATAGTGCATTTATGGGTAATAACATTGGTCAAAGCACATTAAGCAGATACTAGCTGCACCTCTGGTGGTTATGTTCAGAGAGAGTATTCTCCTTGGTAGATAGGTTTAGAATATTCCCATTGCCCCAGCGCTCTTTACAGTCATTCCAGGCACGGGCCTGGATTATGTTGAGAATCCCCAGGCTCTTCTCTGGTTTCTCACATGCCCATTTGGGAGCAGTGTTCTCTGTAACCAGGGAATCCAGAAAATCTCCATAAGGCTGACTGGTTTGGGTGGAGATAAACCTTGGCCACCTGATAGCTGTCAGTCACCCTAGGATTTTTTTTTTTGAGTGGTGACCTTGGTATTAGGCACTGTGAGATAGGTAAAGAACATTGACCTAGAAAGGTTTGAGAACCTTTGTAAAGTCACAGAGCCTGGTAGCCAGAATTTGGACCCAGGTTTCTCGACTACAAACCTCTGTTCCCACGTCAACGTGACCTCTACTTCCTAGTGCGCTTGAAAGAGGAGAGGATGAAAATGTACAATGATTAAGTCAGTGTAGTTGAGATTTGGTCTGTTTCTGTTCAGAAGTTCAAAGAAAGACAGGTTTGGGGCGCCTGGGTGGCGCAGTCGTTTGAGCGTCCGACTTCAGCCAGGTCACGATCTCGCGGTCCGTGAGTTCGAGCCCCGCGTCGGGCTCTGGGCTGATGGCTCGGAGCCTGGAGCCTGTTTCCGATTCTGTGTCTCCCTCTCTCTCTGCCCCTCCCCCGTTCATGCTCTGTCTCTCTCTGTCCCAAAAATAAATAAAAAACGTTGAAAAAAAAAATTAAAAAAAAAAAAACAAAGACAGGTTTGATTTTGGTCAAATAATTAAAGACATCTTTAAAAAGTTAAATTTAATCTGGTGCTTGCAAATTGGTAGAATTTTCCAGAAGGGAATGGCTTTTCAGACATACACAGTACGTGTGCAGAATGTTGATTACTTACAACATAGGACATACACTAAAGTTTCTGAAAACACAGGTAATTAGCATATAAATTGTTGTGTCCTGGAGAGAGACATTGTGGGGTAAAGTAGGATTCTCAAACCAGACTTTACTCTGGTAAAGATGGATAAGGTTTCAGAGTTTTCTGTGGTGGAGCCAGGCAGCAGGAAGGAGCAGAAAGGGCTAGAGTGAGAGATCTTTGGCCAGGAAAGAGATGGAGTGGTTGCTTGAGAGAGGAAGAAGCAGAGTTAGGGAAACTTCCACCCAGAGGGACTTAAGCAAACAGGTGATGGGCCAAGGCCTTGGAGGAGCTAGGAAGGGATGGAAAAAGAGAAGCTAGCTTGAAGTAAAGCAGAGAGAAGGAAAATGTGTAAAAAGAGGCCTCAGGTTTAAAGTAGGGTCTACAGCACTTTGAAAGCTTATTCACCCATAGTGAAACTCGCATTCTCTTCTTGGGTGAGCTTCCTTGCTTGCATGGCTCAACACAGACCTCCATGATGCTTCACCAGAATCCATTTCTAACTATCTTAGTCTGTTTGAGCCGTCACACCAAGCTACCACAGACTGGGTGGCTTAAGCAACAGAGATCTATTTCCTCATAGTTCTGAAAGCCAGAAGTCTAACATCAATGTGTCCGCATGGTTAGTTTCTCCTAAGGACCTCTCTTCCTTATAGATGGCCGTCATCTTCTAATCTCTTCAAATGGTCTTCCTTCTCTGCCTGACTGTATCCTAATCTCTTATAAGGATACCAGTCATATTGGATTAGGACCCACTCATATGACCTCATGCCCCTTAATTATCTCTTTAAAAGCTCTGTCTCCAAATACAGGCATACCTTATTTTATTGTACTTTGCACATACACGCTTTTTATAAATTGCAGGTTAGTGGCAACCCTGCAACGAGCAAGTGTCTCGGCACCATTTTTCCAACAGCATTTGCTCACTTCATTTCTCTGTGTCACATTTTGGTCTTCCTCACAATACTTCAAAGTTTGTTTGTTTGTTTGTTTTAAGTTTATTTTAAGAGAGAGTGCGTGCATGAGCTGGGGAGGGGCAGAAAGAGAATCCCAAGCAGGCTCCTTGCTGTCAGTGCAGAGCTCCATGTAGGGCTTGATCTCACAAACCGTGAGTCAGACACTTAACTGACTGAGCAACCCAAGCACCCCTCAAACTTTTCATTACGATATCAGTTATGCTGATCCGGGATCAGTGGTTACTACTTGTTGGAAGACCAGATGATAGCGTTTTTTAACAAGATATCTTCAGATTAAGGTACATATAGTGTTTTTTGTTTTTTAATATAATGTTATTGCATACTTAATAGATTATGGTACAGTGTGAACAACTTTGTGTGCACTGGGAAACCAAAAAGTCCTTTGACTCACCTTATTGTGATACTCACTTTGTTGTGATCTGGAACCAAACCTGTGATATCGCTGAGGGGTGCCTGTGTAGTCACATTCTGAGGTCCTGAGGGGTTAAGGACTTCAACATATGAGTTTGGGGGTTCAGACTTCAGCTTGATACTAATTCTGACCCCTCTTATGAACACCAGATCTACAAATCCAGCTTCCCACCACACATCTCTGTATAGATACTCCTCACACAAAGCTTGTCCAAAGCAAACCCCTCTGAGTACCCCTTACCAGTCCTTCCTTCTGCTCTCCCAATCAAGATAGGAGCTTCAGGATCATCCCAGACTCACCACCACCACCACCCCTCCTTCCACATCACTGAGTTATCTGTTGATTTGTCCCCATGTCTTTTGTATTTGTCTCCTCTCTGGTATCACTGGTGCCCTTGTTCAGGCCACTAGCATTTCTGGTCATCATCCCCCCCTTTACCAACCCAGCTTCCACACAACTGCCTAACTAAAAAGAGCTCCAGGCCCGTGCCTGCCTTGCCCAGGAAGCTTGCATTGCTCTGCCTTACCTGCACAATAGAGCATTACAGTCTTGTGAGGTAGGCAGGCTGGGCATTACGGTCCGGTGCCACTGCCACCTATTTTAGGGACTAGGATACCAAGGACTTCGTTACTCAGCATTTCCTAGCTAGTGAGTATATACTAGCATACTGTCTCCAAACTCTGAGCTCAGCCTGGTTTTCAAAACAGCACGTCCTTAGACTGGCCCATCATCTTTCATCGCCTTCCAGACTTTCTTGGGGTGTGTCCTCACACTTATCCACCTCTTTTCTAATCTGTTTCCTTGACTGAAACAACCTCCTTCCTTTTTCTGCTTCATCAGAATCCTATGGCATATATTAACTTTAGCCTTTTTCCTGCATTTCCCCTCACTCATGGATTACTCCAGGGAACTGGGCAACATCATGGGTATTATATGGGTGGGTGTGGGCATGATCACCCACCACCCATTTTTTTTTTAATGTTTATTTTTGAGAGAGAGAGAGAGAGAGAGAGAGAGCAGGAGAGGGGCAGAGAGAGAGGAGACATAGAATCCGAAGCAGGCTCCAGGCTCTGTGCTGTCAGCACAGAGCCCGATGGTGGGGCTCGAACTCATGAGCCGCAAGATCATGACCTGAGCCAAAGCTGGACACTTAACCAACTGAGCCACCTGGGTGCCCCCAGCCCACTACCCATTTTAACCCCTTACTTCTCTTGTGACTCTTGATATCACACGATCTAGCTGTCTGTGTTCCTGTTCGTCCCACTTGGTAGGAAGCTCCTTAATTGCTAGGCGTCACCCCTCTTACGGTTTTCCTCCCATGGTACTGAATCCATGGTAGACACACAGAGGTACTCACAGTTTTATGGAGAAGGAAGGGCCAAATTTTCCAGCCAGCCTTCTGCATCCATACCCGGGTCATTCACTGAGGTTCTGCCAGTCCCCTTCCTGAGCTTCTGCCTCTACCCAGATAACTTGTTCTACACATTCACCTCCTCTCCTCCAGGAACGATCCACCTCTCTAACCAGCATCTTTGGCTGACCCACACTCCATTCCCTAGGCCACTAAGCCCTGTTTTCTCACTATTTCGGAGCCACAGGACATACCTATCTGGCCTGTACTTCCAGATTGTTGCCATGGCAGAGCAGTGTGTACGGATTAGCCAGATTAACTGGAATTTAGGGCTCAGTGTGGGCAAAAAGGCAGATCTTCCCAGTACCTGGCTCTGGAGGCAGATCTTCAGTTCCACGCCCAGCTCTGCATGGGCCTAATCGCAGTGCCATTTTCCCTGTTTCCCAATGCATCTGACTGCACTGAAGCCCCATTTCTCTCCCTTCTCCCTCCTGCTGGGGCTCCCTGCCCACTGTGTTCCTGTGTCACACACTGCCAGGTGCACAAGCTTCTGATTGTGGTGGAGCTGCTGCTTGGGGAGATCCCAGACCGGCTACAGTTCCGTCAGCCATCTCTCAAGCGCTCGCTCATGCCCTACTTCCTTCTTACTCAAGGTAAGGGTGGTCCCGCTCCCAGAGCTTGCCAGACCCCTAGCGCTGTGGCCTTTTCAGTGGGTTTGCCCATTTGCATCATCTGATCCACTCCTCCCCGCTCCAGCTGTCAGGACCGGAAACCTTGCCAAGTTCAACCAGGTCCTGGACCAGTTTGGAGAGAAGTTTCAAGCAGATGGGACCTATACCCTAATCATCCGACTACGGCACAACGTCATTAAGACAGGTGTGGATCTGAGTCTGAGAGGCTGCTGGAAGAGCAGGACCCAGATCAGCTTCTGCAAGGGATGGTGGCAACCCTGTGGGTGTCCATGGGTGGGCAGAGGGTCTGTGGCCACCCTGCCCACCCCAGTGCTCCTTCCTCTCCCAGGTGTGCGCATGATCAGCCTTTCCTATTCCCGAATCTCCCTGGCCGACATCGCCCAGAAGCTGCAGCTGGATAGCCCAGAGGATGCAGAGTTCATTGTTGCCAAGGTGGGGCCAGTTCCGGGACTGCAGTTGCTACCCTCCTGCCATATTTCAAGGGGTGGGAATGGGAGACTGGCCAAGGAAGGGAATGGGTTCAGTAGTGGCATGGTCTTTTCAGGGAGTGCTGGCCTTACAATGAGGCCAGGAAGTTGCCAGAGAGTGTGTGTACGTGAGTGAGTGTACAAGTGTGAGGAGGAGAGGGACAGGACAGGATGTTCTCAGATTTAGAAGATGGGCTTTCTGGTGACTTTTCCTTTATTTGGGGGCCGGCAGGCCATCCGGGATGGTGTCATTGAGGCCAGCATCAACCACGAGAAGGGCTACGTCCAGTCCAAGGAGATGATTGATATCTACTCCACCCGTGAGCCCCAGCTGGCCTTCCACCAGCGCATCTCCTTCTGTCTAGATATCCACAACATGTCCGTCAAGGTGAGAAGCCGGGGCTGTAGAGGGGGGTTAGCAGCACCTGCGAATTCCTCAGAGGAGGTTGGCCTAGATCCCAGACCATCTCTGTAAAGTCCCTGAATGGCAGGGCAGGGGGTCCCAGAGTGAATGAAGGACTTGGCATGTGGGCCTATACGACCTTCGCCTGCTTCTAAGGGTCTGGTTGCCCGGGAGGGAACCAGATGGATTCACAGTACAGGGTTCCAGATTTGCTTCCAAATCTGAGTCCTTCACCTTGTCTGAACCTCTGTTTCTCCATCTATGAAACCGATGGGGAGATTACCTGCCCTGTCTGTTTTGCAGGGTTGAGGACATTAAACGAAATCACTGTCTTAAGACACTTAGTGAAGTCTGAATTGTGGAAAAGGTAGGGTGGGTATCTAGTTCCTCAAAAGGTCGTTAAGCTCTTATCCTGTGGCAGGCACTGAGTTGGGTGCTGGTACTGTTCACCAAATTTTTTTTTTTTTTTTTTTAAAGTTTATTTTGAGAGCGAGAGCACACATGAGCAGGGAGGGGAGGGACAAAGAGAGAGGGAGAGAATCCCAAACAGGCTCTGTGCTGTCAGTGCAGAGCCCAACCCAGGGCTCCCCAAAATCATGACGTGAGCCGGAATCAAGAGTCAGATGCTTAACCGACTGAGCCACCCAGGTGCCCTCTGTTTGCCAAATTTCCTGGCCTCTTCTTGCCCCAAGAAACTAGGGATGTTGTGACCTTGCTTAAAATCAGGTAAATGTTCTCGGGGAGACATGAAAGGCCCTCTGTGACCTGGTTCCCCTTGTCTCTAGGCTCACTTCCCAGGTGCTCTTTTCCTCTCTACCCACTTTTCCTTCCTCTCCTCCCTCCCCACCCCCACCCCCCGGCTGGCCCCACTGAACTCAGGCCAGGCCTTTTCACACATTGAAACCTCTGCCTGGAATGCCTTTCCTCCATTCCCACAAGCAGTCAGTTCCTTTCCTCTGTTTTCCTCCTCACTGCCAGTCCCCCTCCCTGGCCAGTGAGAATGTCTTGATTCTCATTTGCAGTGTTTGCCACATGGTATAGTAGTAATTACCTTCCATGTCTAGCTCCTCACTAGACTAAACTAGAGAATGAATAGCCTAATTCATGTTGTGGTGCCCAGTACACAGAAGGAGCACAATAAACATATGTTCAGTGCATGCCTTGTCTTTATCTTGCTCCTGTCTCTACTGTGCTTCATTCAGGCCATGAGGTTTCCTCCCAAATCGTACAACAAGGACTTGGAGTCTGCAGAGGTAAGGTGCTTTCTGCTTTGGATAAGACTGAAAGCTCAAACTTCCCTACAGAGAGGGAAGAGTGGGGGGCAATTTCTGGAAGGGCTGGGAGTAGTTCTGAAGCTCTGGCAGTCCCTGACCTTGGGGTGGGTTGGGCTCGGTGAAGCACTGTGTGAGAGAGCCTCACTGGTCCCCAGCAGCCCAGCCCTCACCCCACCTCTTGCCCCAGGAACGGCGCGAGCGAGAGCAGCAGGACTTGGAGTTTGCCAAGGAGATGGCCGAAGATGATGATGACAGCTTCCCTTGAGCTGGGGGGCTGGGGAGGAGTGGGGTGAGTCGGGAATGGCTCTTTATCTTTTCCCCTTGGGGCCCCCTGCCCAGGGAACTGGCCCCTTTACCATACATGTCTCACAGACAGCATATGTGCAGGGGGTGAGGGGTGCAGGGAGCCAGTCACCCCCACCTCACCCCAGGACCCCTCCCCAGCCAGTGACATATCACATGGTGGGCAGGAGGGTGGGCAGGCAGCCTCCCCAGGGCAGGGTCCTGGCTAGTGGTGTGGGCAGCAAGATGGGAGGGAATCTGTGCTCTCCCGGAAGTCCGGGACTGGAATCGGGACATGTGTTGGGTTGTATGTTTTTTGAAGCCTCAATTATGATTTTTAAACAATAAAAAGTTCTCCAAAGCTCTTTGTGCATCATTTAATAACTAGACTGCACTCTTCATACCTACAGTATTGACAGACCCAGATTTTTCCTTCCTGGTCTTGGGAGGGCCAGCCCCAGTGTAATCTGGGGACCTGATGTGACTGTGGATGAGAATGAGGCCAAGGGCAGGGTGAAGAGCTGCTGATCTGGCATCAGGAGGGCCTCTCTCCCATCTACCTGGCTGGCCAGTATTGGGCAAGTCACTAAACCTCTCCATCTCCTTTCCCACATCTGTCCAATAAAGGATAAGATTCCATGACCTGGCTCTGAAGTTAAAAATCTAGACCTCTAGGGGCGCCTGGGTGGCTCAGTCGGTTGAGCGACCGACTTTGGCTCAGGTCATGATCTCGAGGTCTGTGAGTTCAAGCCCCGCATCAGGCTCTGTGCTGACAGCTCAGAGCCTGGAGCCTGCTTCTGATTCTGTGTCTCCCTCTCTCTACGTCACTTTCCCGCTCATGCTGTCTCTCTCTCTCTGTCTCAGAAATAAACATTAAAAAAAAAAAAAGAAATCTAGACCTCTAGAGGATCAAAGAAATGGCAGGGGTCTGACCCTCAGGAGGTTTGCAAGAGGAGAGAAGGGTCTCTGATGAGGCTGCAGCAGCAGGTTGAGAGCAGGTTTTGCCCAGCTGGCCCTTACTGATGAGGCTGCAGCAGCAGGTTGAGAGCAGGTTTTGCCCAGCTGGCCCTTACTGAATGGGAGACGGGTTGTTCCCTGAGAGTGAGAGTTGGGTCAGCCCAGAGGGGCCTCCTTGTGGCTCCAGCTGCAGATAGTGGGGAAATGTGTCTGCCTCAGTCTTGACGTCTCCCAGCCGCTGACGGGGATGCTCCCCATCTCGGGTCATTGAATTACTGCTGTTCTCTGTTGGCGCCTGGGACATTGCTGTACATGTTCTCTGTTCCTGCCAAGCGCTGTTATCTGAACACGGCCTCGTGGGTTTCTGCCTCTGCTTAATTGCATTCCCTCTCCTGCCACGCTCTGGCTCTCCACCTCGAGGATTTCTACACCTCCCCCAGGCTTCCTGCCTCACAGTGATTTATCCCCCTGGCATCTGGAACACTCGCTCGAGATCAGATCCTCTCAGGAGGTGGTGTGAAAGACTTATCTTCCCAGCTAGCTTGTAGGTTCTTCGAGAGCATGAAGAGGCATTTGTGTCCTCCCGGGGCTTTGCCCAGTACCTGGCACACTGGGTTTGATGAAGTCTTGTTTGTGTGTTCATTACCAACTGAAGATTTTCATCTTGCAGTATCCCTAATTTCCATTAAAGGCATGTTTTCGACTGGCCTTGTTTTGGGTCCTGGTCCCATCCCAGCCTTGATCACAGCAATCTGGCATTGCCCACTTGCCCTGAAGCTTCTGCCACCTCCCAAGTGTAATGAAACTCTCTCTCAGAAAAAAAAGACTAACCTACACCCAAGGTAGGGCTCCAACCCACAACCCCAGGATCGAGAGTTGCACACTCTTTCAACTGAGCCAGCCAGGTGCCCCAAGGTTTTTTTTTTTTTTTCTTTTTTCTTTTTTAAGGTAGTCTCCATACTCAATGTGGGGAAGAGTCACATGCCCAATGACTGAGCCAGCCAGGTGCCCCTCAATGCTAACAAATTTTAGAGTCAGCATCTGGCCCAGAGTGCCTCAGGTCCTCTCCTGGTTGGTAACAGATTGGAGAGTATGTCATCCTGTTACAGAGAGTTGGGGTCATTTGACGTGATTTCCTGGTTCTCACCCACCTTGACTCTATGATAGACTATTTTTCTGCTCACTTTCTGGAAGTTTCTTTTAATTCGTTCCCATTGGCTTGGTTTTCTCCTCCTGGAGAAGCTTAGTGTCTTTTTTATGCTTGGAGAGTTCACTGTGTTCTCCACTTTATGGTTGGGTGGGTTTTTTCTTTTTTTTTTTTTTTTTTTTTTTTTTTTTTTTTTTTGTTTTGATTTTTGAGTTTTGCTTTAAATTACAAAACTACAGAGAAGCAGAAAGAATGACCTAACAAATACCCGTGGACTTTTCCACCCAAGTTTAATAAATGGTGACATTTGGTTATCATGTCATTTTTTTCAACCAAGGAAAACCATTACAGATCAGTCAGAAGCCCATCTTGTTTCTTTCCCAGGCCCTTCCCTTACTTCCCTAGAGGCAGCCGCTCTGATGAATTCCGTAAGTAGCCTTCCAGCTTTATGTTTTTGTACTTTATCTTCTACAAAATACAGTATTTTTTGTGGTTTTATTTTATTTTTTATTTTTTTTAACTTACATCCAAATTAGCATATAGTGCAACAATGATTTCAGGAGTAGGATTCTTGTGCCTTTACCCATTTAGCCCAGTTCCCCTCCCCACACAACCTCCAGTAACCTCCTCAGTTCCCCTTCCATATTTATGAGTCTTCTTCTGTTTGTCCCCCTCCCTGCTTTTTATATTTATATTATTTTTTGCTCTTCCCATGTTCATCTGTTTGTCTTTAAAGTCCTCAAGTGAGAAGTCATGATTTTTTTTGTCTTTCTGACTAATTAGCATAATACCTCCAGCTCCATCCATCGAAGCAGGCGGCAAGATTTCTCTATTCTTTTTTGATTGCTGAGTATCTAGGTGTGTGTGTGTGTACACACACACACACACACACACACACACCCCACATCTTCTTTATCCATCCATCCATCCATGGACATTTGCTTCCATACTTTGACTATTGTTGATAGTGCTATAAACAAACATTAGTATGTGTCCCTTTGAAACAGCACATCTGTATCCCTTGGATAAATACCTAGTAGTGCACTGTTGGGTCAGAGTAGTTCTATTAGCTTGAACCTCCACACTGTTTTTCCAGAGTATGCACCAGCTAGTATTCACCAACAATGCTAAAAGAGATCCTCTTTTCTTTCAAAGGTGAGCAGGCATCCTCACCAACACCTGTTATGTCTGCCTGAGTTGTTAAAGGGGGCAAGTAGTCATATTCACAGGTGAGGTGACCATTGTGGGAGCATTTGTGGTCCCCCATACATGAGTGATGTTGAGCATTTTTTTTCATGTATGCACATCTGGATGATTTTGGAGAAGTGGCTCCTGTGTTCTTTTGTCTATTAATTGGATTATTTGTTTTTTCAGTGTTGAGTTTGATAAGTTCTTTTGTAGATTTTGGATACTAACCCTTATCTGGATATGTCGCTTGTAAATATCTTCTCCCATAATGCATGGTTGCCTTTAGTTTTGGTTGAGATGGTTACATGAAGAAGCTTTTTATTTTGATGAGGTCCCAGTAGTTCATTTTCGCTTTTGTTTCCCTTGCCTCCAGAAACGTGTTGAGTAAGAAGTTGCTGCAGCATTTTTGTGTGTTTTTAAATCTTTTAAATGATGTATCACATGAATGTAACTTGCTCTTTTCACTCGCCATTGGTTTTGAGATCTAGTGGTGATACCGTGCACAGCACTGTCCTAGGCACTGGGAAACAGCTAAATAAAGCAATTCAGCGTTATTAAGAGCAATAAATTCCTTTCCTCACTTGAGTTTTCATTCCGTGAGGGGCTCGGGGGGAAGGAAGCCTATGTGGTATGGATGGACCACGGTTTATTTAGCCCTTCCCCTACTGGTGTGCACTGGTTTAATATTAACAGTGCCGCAGAGGACATCACTGTGTGTCTCCTAGCACATAGGCACTGTGCACATGGTTTGCAACCTTTTCTCAAAGGGCCAGATAGCACATTTTTTAGGCTCGTGAGCCATACAGTCTGTCACAACTATTCACTTCTGCCCTTCAGAGCAGCTATAAATAATATGTAAAGAAATTATTCAAGAACACTGGAGTTTGAATTTCATATGATGTATACATGTTATGAAATATTCTTTTGTTGCCCATCCGTTTAAAAATGTAAAACCCCTTCTTGACATGAAGTGTACATAAATTGGCTCACAGGCCGAGTCTGCAACAAATGAGTCACTCCACAGCCCTTAGAAAGATGCTCCAAGTCCAGCACCAGATGAAAACAGGAAGCATGAGGGGAAGTTGCTGGCCAGTTCTGGCCATTAAGAAACACCAGGGAAAGCCTTTGGAATCTGGAAGGCTGAATGACAGCTAAGGGTCTCCAGAGCCAGGCCCTTTGCCCCAAGATCGTTTTGGTCCAGCTCAGCCTGTGCGTCATGGCCAGTAACTAGCCCTGGCTCTCTACCTGGTCTTTATTCTCCCATGGGTAAGGCCGAAGTCTGGACTGAGCCATTTTCCAAGAGGTACAGCTTATCTGAACAGGAAGGTAGTGTAATGGGAACAACAGGGAAGCCTGACTGCAAATCCTGCCTGGCTCCACCGCCTGACCAGTTCTGTGATCTTGGGCAAGACCCTTCACTTGTCTGAGGCTGTCCCTTGTCTATAATGAGAATAATCCACATCCTTCCACTTGGTTTGTAGGATGAAATGACAAAAGTGTAATGGAAGGTACCTGACAGATAAGAGGTACCCAATGATTGCCAGCCAACATTTGGATTTTCTCCCTGTGGAATGGATGCCAGAACACTTCCTGGGATGGGCCACTCACTTCCCCTGGAAGCCGCCCGCTCCATCTTCTAACACTTGTGACCGCTAGTCACTTCTGTTGATCTGGAAACTAGCCGGCTGTGGCTTTCACTCCCTGTCCCACGTCCAGCCCTTGAGACCAGGCAACAACCCCCTCCTTTGATTCCCCAATCAAAACAGCCTGTTTTCTTCAAATTGTGATCTTTGAGCCCTCTCACCATTCTGGCCACCCAACCAAACACCCTACACACTTGGACTGTCGATAAAGACAGGAGTCTGGGTCTAGAACTTCCTGGCCACAGGTGAGGAAGTCCAAACATTGATTAAGAGATTTGATGGTTGAGGCACTGGGTGGCTCAGTTGGTTATGTGTTTGACTTCAGCTCAGGTCATGATCTCAGTTTGTGAGATCAAGACCCACATCAGGCTCCAGGCTGACAGTGTGGAGACTGCTTGGGACTCTCTCTCCCTCTCTCTCTGCTCTACTCCTACACTTGCACGTGCTCTCCTGCTCTCGCTCTCGCTCTCACTCTCTCTCAGTATAAGTAAGCTTTAAAGAAAAGATTCCATGGTTAAGAGTTTAAGACTGTGGCACAGGGCAGACCTTGGTTCTGCTACTTGGGTAGGTTACTTAACCTCTTCAAGGTCATATTCATCTTCTGTAAAAGGGGAAATGGTTCTAGTACCTTCCTCCTGGGCTTGTTGAAAGGAATACACTCAATAATGTATGGAGAGTGTGCGGCACAACATCTGAAGCCAGCTGAGCCCTCTGGAGATTCTTTGGGGGACGGTAAAGGGGCACGTTTTGCAAATGAGTCTCCTGACCTCCACAGTTCTAAACCCACCCCTCTGCTCCCACAGAGCTGGGCATACACCTGGTCTCAGTCAGTGCTTGGTTGCCAACTGCCTAGCCTGAGGTGGACAGGAGACCAGAGGCAGGATGTGAACAGATCGGCACGTGAAGTCCCTGCCAGCGGTGGCCACCAGGGGGCACCCCAGCCCCAGAGGTGGCCTCACCCAGGCAGACACACCTACTCCTCATCCAAAGAAATCTGTTCCTTGGCCTGAGGTGAGGTAAATTGGGACAGAAAGTGACAGCCTTGGGTGTGGTCGGTCAGGCCCCAAGTCCTGTGGCAGAGGCCTAGGCTAACTGTGAGTCTGACTCTGCTATCCATGACCTTGGGCAAGGCACTTTCCTCTCTGGCGCCGGTTCACTGGGGTCAGAACAGACTCCAAGACTTGCCTGGCTCTAGGATTTGAGGCTGGGGCAGCTTCTTCTTTCTCACTCCCAGCCTTTCTCCAGCTCAGGGCAGCACACACTCTGACTGGCAGTGAACCTGGCCTGGGAAGCCATGCTTCACAGATGCCCCCAATTCCAAAGCGCTGGTGGACACCATTGGAGGGAGGCATAGTGCGGGAGGAGGAGGAAGGGCAGGGTCAGGTGAACCAAGAGACTCAGAGCCTCAAAGGTCTTGCTTCATTTGGGACAGACATCCGGTTTCCTCTGGTTTCTGCCAGGATTCCGGGGGCTTAAAGGAATGAGTCATGGAGGGGGATTGGGGGGTTCCCAGCTAACCAGTTTGCGACAGGAGCCTGGGATGATGCCCATCAAAGTGTGGGGTGGAGATGGGAGGCAAGACCCCAATGTCCCTATCCCAGGCCCCTGGCCCATCAGGAGGGGACTCAGGAAGGCAGCCTCCTGGGAGTTTGGGGGGTAAAGCTAGCTTCTTCCCTCCCAGAATTTGGGGCCTAGGGAGCAGGTGGCTTGAGAATCCCAAGGGAGAGTGCCAGGGGACTGCTTCAGCAGATCCAGGGGAGGGAGGGAGGGGCTGCCCAGAGGCTGGCCTCTTCCCCAGTCAGTCTGACCAGCCTCCAGCCTCCAGGGCTTTTATCAGTGGCTCGGCCTTTGTTCAGCGGTTCTGATCAAACACCCTGGGGCAATTCGGGCCTGGGTGGGGCTAAGGGGAGGAAGGGAGTTTGAAGGGGACTGGACGTCAAAGAAGGATCAGAGATTCCACAATTTCACAAAACTTTCGCAAACAGCTTTTTGTCCCAGCCCCCCTGCATTGTCCTGAACGCCAAATTTGCATAAAGTTATTACTAAGCCTTAGTCGTAGCACCAGGTAATTTCCTTCCAGGCCTCCATGGGCTTATGTATAAAGGCCCTCTGGAACTGATCCCTGCCAGAGCCCAGAGCCTGCAGACCCACCCAGATCTCCTGCTAAGCCTGCTGCCCAGAGCCCCATGAAGCTGACCGGTGAGTGTCCCAGCCCCAGGGAGGGAGGATGGAGTAGTAGAGGGGCTGGGGGAACCTGGGCCCTGGAAAGGGACCCCGGCGGGAGTGGACAGCATGTCTCCTGAGCCCCTATCTGCCCTCAGCCCTGCAGCTGCTGCTGTGGCACAGCGCACTCTGGATGGTGCAAGAAGCCACCCCCTTGGGCCCTACCAGCTCCCTGCCCCAGAGCTTCCTGCTCAAGTGCTTAGAACAAGTGAGGAAGGTCCAGGCTGATGGCACAGCGCTGCAGGAGAGGCTGGTGAGTGAGAGGCCAGGAGGAGACAAAGATGCTGGAGAGGGGTGGTGGAGGAAAGAAGACCCAGAGGGCTGCATGGAGGGAGGAAGGGGCAAGAGCTGAGGGAGGGGACAAGGAATACTAGGAAAACATCATCAGGGAGGGACATGGGAGAGGAGAGACCCAGCGGGAACGGGGAGAAAATTAGGGAGAGGTGGAGCCACCGAAGGCTGGCCAGGAACTGGGGGGAGAGAACGTCGCAGGGACGGTGCTCTTGGTGCTCTCGGAGCGGCTGCCTGGAATCACAGTGGAGGGCAGAATGGGGCTGAGCAGCCTGGCAGGACCAGGAGGGAGGGGAAGATCTTGGAGAAATGGGGAGGACTTGGACTCGGGAAGCAGAAGCAGCCCAGCCCCATCAGGACCCCCTCACTCAGCATCCTTCCTGTCCCCAGTGCGCCGCCCACAAGCTGTGCCACCCTGAGGAGCTGGTGCTGCTTGGGCACGCTCTGGGCATCCCCCAGGCTCCCCTGAGCAGCTGCTCCAGCCAGGCCCTGCAGCTGGTGAGTTTCTGGATGGGAGGAGGGTGATGAGGGGAGGGAAGGATGGTCTGGAAGTCTCCCTGGATCTCCAGGCTCCAATCTGGGGCCCCGAAAGGAGCATCCCGGGCAGCAACCTCTGACGCCCTACTCTGTCCCGCAGACGGGCTGCCTGCGTCAACTCCACAGTGGCCTCTTCCTCTACCAGGGCCTCCTGCAGGCCCTGGCAGGGATATCCCCCGAGTTAGCCCCCACCCTGGACATGCTGCAGCTGGACATCACCGACTTTGCTATCAACATCTGGCAGCAGGTGAGAGCCTCGCTGGGAACGGCAAGTGTTCGGGGCCTGGACTGAGCTGGTCCCCAAAGATTGGGCTGAAGGCTTGGGTATCCCGCTTCTTTAGGAACGGGATGGGAGCACTCCCAGGCATGTGTGTAAGGAGCTACCACTTCATCCCAGGCTCCCCTCGCTGCTGGCCCTTCCCCACTCTCTAGATGAGGGCGGGAGACAGATCACCGGACCTTGAAACAGACCTGGGTTCAAGGCCTGGCCCCACCATTAACCGTGTGATCTTCCACAGCCCATCAGCCTTTTGCGTTTCCTCATTTAATAATGTGCTTGCAGCAGGGTCTGCCTGGTTGCTGATCTCATCTTTCCCCCCCACAGATGGAAGACGTGGGGATGGCCCCTGCAGTGCCGCCCACCCAGGGCACCATGCCAACCTTCACCTCGGCCTTCCAGCGCCGGGCAGGAGGCACCCTGGTTGCCTCCAACCTGCAGAGCTTCCTGGAGGTGGCATACCGTGCTCTGCGCCACTTCACCAAGCCCTGAAAAAACCCTCCCCCACGAGTGTATTTATCTTTATTTAATATTTATGCTTATTTAAACCTAGTATTTAAAGACAGGAAAGAGCAGAAAGGAGCCCTGGACTCTTGGGTCCTTCCTGCCACCTCTGAGTTTCATTCTCCTGCTTGTAGCAGGGAGAAAATCTGTCCCCGGGACTGGGAGGCGGATAGGTAAATACCACGTATTGATTTCTATGACTGCTCCCTGGCCTGGCTCTGTGGTGGGCACTGGGAAGAACCCCAGTGAACCCCTTAGCCCAAGGGTACCCACCTTGAGTCCCTCGGAAGCATCAGGAAGTCTCCCAAGTGGGAGACAAGACAACCCTGTTTAATATTTAAACAGCAGTGTTCCCCTACCGGGTCCTCCCTCGCTCTGGCCTCACCGAAGTGGCTGGCGCATGCCAGGTGGGCTAGGCCTTGCTTCTCTCGTCCCCTTCCCTACACAGTAAAGCCCGCAGAGGCAGCCAGAGCCGGAAAGCTTGACCCTGGGGTCCCACGAATTCGCTGGGGAATCTAGTTTTCAAGATGTTTTGGGGAATATTTTGACTTCCAGTATGGGGAGCCCAGGCATGGCTGACATTTCTCATCTTTCTGGATGCCTCGTAGCGACAATGACAGGCTTCTAATGCCTGCCCCACCCTCACCAGGGTCAGGATTCTGACTCCTCAAGGGCCGGGCAGAGAGTCACTTACCGGCCTCGCTGGAGGGGGACTGGGAGTGTGAGGCCTGTGTGATGGAGTGAGAGGAACGTTCAACTCTTCACCCTCCACCTCTGCCCCCACTTTCTCACTGTAGCCAAACTGTGATAATAAAGTGTTTTGTTTGTCTCCAGTAAACGTTCTTCCTCTTTCTTGAGTCCAGCTGGTGCCCAGCCAGGGATTGGGTGGGGGAGGGCTGAGTGGGGGGTGAGGCCAGAGGGAGGGAAAGAGGAGGTGCAGGGAGGAAGAGGGCCGTCCTCTAGCTCATCAACATTCAGGCCTTTAGCATGGATTTCTCTTGTACCTGCTCTGTGCAGGCACTGAGCTAAGTGCTAGGGACACAGCAGTGGGCAAGGCACGTATGGTCCCTGGCCTCAAGGAGCCACAGCCTAGTGGGAAGACAGAAGGCAGATGGACAACCATACTGGGAGAGAACGTGGGATTGGGGAGTCTTAATAGTCCAGACATAGACAGACACTGGCCCAAAGCAAGGGAGGATTTAATGTCTGCACAGAGCTGGTCAGTTTATCATCTTCCATAAACTCCAGCCCATCCACACTCACAGCTGCCCACAACGATAGAGTAAGTGCCTTTTACAGATTAGGATCTGAATTCAGGGTGACAACCTGGGTCAGAACTCAAATTCCCGGCCCTGTACTTCTCTCCCTCAAGTTCTGCCTCTGATCTGACAGGGAGCAACTCAGGTCAGCTGCCACTTCTCTGCTGGTCTCAGCCTCAGGGGCTGTTGAGCTCACAGGGTGAGTGGGCAGGTGTGTGTGTGTGTGTGAGAGTGAGAGAGAGAGAGAGAGAGAGAGAGAGATGCAGAGATTGGAGGGGCTGCTTCACACCGCAGGTTGGAAGCAATCCTGTGTCCTCAGCTGAAGATGCATGTGGTTCCAGGGTGCCTCCACCAGACTCAGGAAAGTTCAGATGGCCAACCGGTCCCCAGTCCCCCATCTCAAGGCTTCCCCTTGGCTCCTCGAGCATCTTTCACTTCCCTTCCCCATCTGGCTCCTTAGAAAGGATGGGGGCACCTGGGTGGCTCAGTTGGTTGGTTAAGCGTCCGACTTCAGCTCAGGTCAAGATCTCACAGTTTGTGAGTTCGAGCCCTACATTGGGCTCTCTGCTGTCAGCAGAGCCCGCTTCAGATCCTCTGTCCCCACTCATGTGCACATGTGCACACACTCTGTCAAAATAAACACTAAAGAAAAAGAAAAAGAAAAAAAAAGAAAGGTCTGGCTGAGCAGGGCCAGAGTCCCCAGCCACGTGGCTCAGAGCCCTCCCTCTCTGCTTGGTCCTGAAGAAATCGGGGCTTGAGATGTGTGGAGAAGACAAGCAAGGGTTAAACAGATCCTGCCCTCACCCCCCAGTCCTCTTTTGGAAAGCACAGATCAAACTCCAGGCCAGTCAGACTCTGGGTGGGGTTGGGCCTAGTGGGAGAGCATCAGGACAGGACAGTGGGGCCTTTAGCCAAAACCTCTCCCTTTTCAGAGTTAAGTCTGACTTTGGGGTGTGGGGGCAGGCAGCGGGCGTGTGTTGACTCCTTATCGCCCAGTGCATGTCTGAGGAAGGGAAGGCCTGCCCCTGCTAAGTGGACAAACACAGGAACCTGAGCCCAGACCTCCTCAGCCACAGGACTGAGTCTCTGCCTGGGGCACAGTATATGGGATTCCAAGAAGATGTTCCCTGCCCCAGTGGGACAAACACTGACACCACTTGGAGTCACACAGGGACCCACAAAGATCTTTATTTACAAATGAGCTGAGGTGAACTTCCCTCATGTGTTACAAAAATATATGTATATATACACTCTGCACCTGTAAAAATTCCTCAGAGGTACATCTACTGTTGGGGGGGGGGGGCGGGCAGGGGTGTGGGGTGTGGAGGGCCCTGGGCTAAGAGCCAGGCTGCTCACATTCTTCAGGTGCTGGCAGGGTGAGAGGAAATTATGAAAGAAAGAAACTGGGAGACGTCTTAGAGGTCAGATGTCAAGAGTAGGGGAATGATCTGGAAATGACAAAGGGTTCTTACATCACGTGGATATGAGCAATGATGTCTCATCTTTCCTCACTGTTCCCCTCTGAGGCGCCTGGAGCCGTGGGCCCCCCCGGCTGACCCCTGCAGCCACTCCAAGCCTCTCAGAGAGCAGCAATGGCCTTGGCAGCCACCTGGCGACCCAGAGACAGGCTGAGGTCCGTGATGGCCAGAACCACCTTGGGGCTGGACATGGCTGACACCTTCACCAGTTCTGATACCTGCCACAGATGGACAAACGGCCGCTCACTGGGGCTACCTGGTGGTGGCCCCGGTGTCCTGGGAGGAAGGAGGCCCCTCCTACTCTGACGGCTGTCACTGAACCCCAGGCTTCCACTAAGACTCGCTGCCCCATCTGAGCCCGAAGGTGGGGACCGGCCGGGCCTGGAGACAAAGCACTCACGGTGGTAAAGGGCATGAACTGCAGGATGCTGCCGCGGCTGCCCTGCTCCAGGCAGTCCACACACTCCTCCATGAACCACTGCACAAACTGGGTGTGCGGGCCGGCGGTCCGCGAGCCCAGGATGGAGGAAATGAGCAGGAACAGGTTGGCTGTGCGGGATGGGGGGAGAGTGAGCACTCCATGAGAAGGGGCTGAGAGGAGTCAGGCTGGGAGGTGGTGGTGGCACCAGAAAGCAAAAGGAAAGAAGTGCTCAGGATGCCCCCCAAATGGGGGCGTCCAAAAGAGGAAGCATGAAAGGAAAACGAGTGAAGAGAGACTAAATAGGAGTCTGGGGGTGACGGGAGAGCCAGCGGCCGGGGAGATGGGGCAACATAGCAGGAGTGAAGGGACACCAGGAGGACTCACCCAGGACTCGGTTCAGCGGGTCTCTCATGTTAACCGTGTGGAGCTGGGAGGCTGACAGGGAGCTGCTCATGGAGCGGTCGGCTGTGGGGCCAGGCAGAGGGGGCCTTAGGAAAAGGCCTCCTGCGTTCAAAACCCCCCTTCCCAGGAGATGCCCTCACTCGTCAGGCATGGAGGGCCTGCCCGGGAAAGGTCCTGGATCCAGAGTCACAGAGGGGCCCCGAATACAGACATCCCACAGGGAGAGGAGAGAGTACATTTGGTGAACACTGCCAGGCGCCCATCTGCGGCCTGCACGTGGATCAGGCCACTTAATCCTCGCAATCCCATTTTACAAAGAAACCAAGACTCAGGTTTGCTGAGTGGCCAAAGGTCACAGGGTTTGTAGGTGGCGACCTCAACATCTTTCCTCTGCCCAAGTGCACAGTTGGTGATTTAATCCCTAAAAGGCCTTAGAGAAATGTCTAGACTCAAGAGAAATCTCTGGAAACAGGAAAAATTAAGTGCCACAGGAGAAGCCCTTGGAAAAGGGGGCCTGGAGGGGAAGGGGTGCTCTTCAGGCAGGAAGAGTGGGGAGCAGCCCCGTGTCCCAGCCCAGACCTCAGGGGCCGTTTCAGGGGAAGGAAGGCCAGAGCTGGTGAGTCAATGGCACAGACCGTGCCTGAGGCAGTGAACTCACTTGTGGTGAGTAAGGCACGGGGAAGGGACAGTGGTGCATGCGGGGCTGGGCTGGGGTCTGGGCAGAAGAGCATCAGTCCTTCGGAAGAGGTCCCCAACAACCCTGGGCTCTCGGCAGGTAGAAAACAGAGCGCAGCGGGGAGCGGGATGAGACAAACTTCCCCCACACTCTCTCTGACCCGCAGATATGCGGCAGCCACGGACCACACAAGCAACTTTCCCAGGCGGGGGTGAGTTCCCAGGAAAGGAGCAGCCCGCCCAGCCCCGTCCGCATGCTCACTGGGACTCACTGGGACTCGAAAGGACGTTGGCGTCTTCCTCATTGGAGCTGAGCAGTCGCATCAGCTTCGAGGGCTGCATGTCATCCAAGGGGAAGAGACTGATATAATCCTGGAGGGCGGGAGAGTCACTTTTACACCCTTGAGTCCCCAAATTCCCTGTCATCAGGGAGGAGAGCTGCAGCTCACATAGGAGTGAGGAAGAGTCAGCTCCCCATAGGCCTCAGCCGGCATCTCCAGCAGGACCAGCTTCCCTTACCCTCCCACAGCCCTAGTGACAGACCCCCTCACACAGTCACCCTTACAGACGCTTGGCCAACTGAGCCCTGACGCAGCCACCCAGGGAAGGTGTCTCTTACCACAGAAGGCCCAGTAAATGTCCTCTGAGCACATGAATGAACGCGCCCTACCTCGATGTCTTCACGGTGTCTCTTCTTCTGGCGCGAGGATGCCTGTCCCTTGTGGGAAGAATAGGAGCTCAGGGCACACCAGACAGCTAACCTGGCAAAGGGTTCCAGGGAAAGAAGGTGAAGTCAGAGGGCCCCAGAGAGGGTTTCCGTGCCGGTGCTGATCAGGCCCCAGCTGACAGGGCTTCCCCACAGCCCAGCCCCCCTGGGCCCCGTGCTGTGGGGACGCGAGGCTCTGAGAGAATCCTACTTGGCGAGCGCAGTGCCAGGAGGGTCCATGAGGTTGTGCCACTTAGAGGAATCGGTGAGCAGGCCAGGCAGGATGTGGCCCAGCAGGACCAGGGTCACTTGCTGCATGTCCAGACAGAAGATGGAGTAGAGCAGCTCCACCGCCCGCAGTGTGTGCTCCTTCCGTGTCTCCTTCAACAGCTCCTGGAGGGGCCGGGGAGGGAGATTTAGCAGCTGAGGGCTCCAAACACGGGGTTCTCCGGGAGAGCACACAGGGGGAAGCCCCGGGTACTGCTCCATCCCTCACTACGCGTCAGCCTCTGGCCACAGCTCCCTGAAGAGGGGGCTTCCCTCAGAGCCCAGGAGCCCCGAGGCCAGGACCTGCCTCTGTGTTCCAAGGAATCTTCTCACAGCACTTAAGAGGCCTCCCAGAGAAGCCCGGCTGACCAGGCTGGGTGCAGGAAAATGCGGGGACAGGACTGACTTTGGTGTTACCAGGTATTTTCTCAGAGGTCTCCCTGAGTCTCGAGGATACCTGCTCCCCCAGCCTAGGTCTGGGTGGGTGTCTGGCCCACACCCGCTGCACCCCAGGTACCTTAATCAGGTTGTTGCAGAACCAGTAGACGCCTCCCATGTGCAGCAGGGTGTCAAAGATGTGGATGGAGCGGCTGTCCACCCATCCTTTCTCCAGCACCTTGCCAAATATGTCTGTCAGCACCTCCTTGATGGGTCGCTTGGGGGGCAGCAGGTTCCAGTAGGGCATCGTGTCCACGCCCGTGGATGGGAACTTGATCTGGGTGGCTGTCTGCTGCAGCACGTCAGCACACATGTGCTCCAGGATCGAGCTCATGATCACCACCCTGGGGGAGGGGGGAGAGGACCTGAGATTCAGGTTCGGGCAATTCAGGTTCAAGAGTGGAGCAAACATCCAGGCCAGACTTTTCCCAGGACTCGAGTTACGGAAATATTCCTGGGGAACTAACCCCATTCTATGGCTGAGGGAGGAGACAAGAAGTCACAAAGCCCTAGCAGACCTGCCCCTACCAGTCCTGCTCCTGGGAGGCCTCTCACCTGATGGGCCCAAAGCCTGTGCGTGGAGGGGGTGCTCTCCTTCCCCAGGTTATTCCAACAATATATTCCTATTTTCTCTTTCCATTGTCTCCAACTTCCCCCATCCCCCAGAGCTGGGGCCCTGCCAATCCCTGGACATAAATAAATATGATCACTTCCCTTTGGGCTGAGTGCTGGGGGGGGGTCCCCGCCCAGCCTTGGCCTCCTCCCAAAGTAAACTGTTACTTCCAGGACAAGGGCCCAAGGACTGCCCCACAAGACTCTTCCCGGCCTTTGGTAGCTGGGCAAATAGAAGCGTATGTCCAGGAATTTCCTCATACGCAGTCTTCAACCGTGAATGCAGTCCGGAGTCTGAGCGCTAACTATTCCTGAAATGCTGGGCAGCTCTAGGAAAGCTGCTAGGACTTTCAGGCCCACTTTTTCCCACCTGCATGATGCACCCACAGATTTCCGACTATTCTTCACCAGATAGGAGTCAGGGTGCTTAGCGTGGATTATGTCAGAGCACACCCTCCATTACTTGTGGGAGGATGGATGTGAGGGAGAAAGGAATAGAGAATGATGTGAGGAAAAAAGATGTGATCTCACAGACCCTCTCCAACCGTGTTTTGGTTCAATGTTTCCACCTCCCCCCTCTAGGAGCATCCTGAGGGCCACCTGGTGAGTCCTCTCTCCTAGCTTACTGCTTGTACATGCCCATTCCATAGCAGCGCTGTTCACAACAGCCAAGAGGCGAAGCTACCCAAGCGTCCATCAACCGACGAATGGATAAACAAAATGTGGCATATACATATGATGGAATATTATTCTGAAGGAAATTCTGACATGTGCTACGACATGGATGAACCTTGGGAACACTGTGCTAAGTGAAATAAGCCAGGCACAAGAAGACAAACACTGTATGATTCCACTTGCATGGGGTACCTAAAGTAGTCAAATTCATAGAAACAAAGTAGAATGGTAGTTACCAGAAACTGGGGGAGGGAAAAGGGTGAGTTGTTACATAATGGGTACAAAGTCTCAGATTTACAAGATGAAAGGTTCTGCAGATCTGTTCCGCGCC